GGATCCTCCTTGTGTCAAGCTATTTTTGCTCCAACCTCCTGTGGCTGCTGTTTTACTTTTGTTTGCATATTTTGTTATGATGGCATGTTGTACTTAACCATTACTGCTCCTGAATTACTCAGTCCAATGTAAACATTAATGAAACAGCTTCCCTTTCGTTGCTGGTACAATCCTGTGTTCCTCTGGCTTCTCTTTTCTGTCATGTTGTGTGCACATATGTGGCATGAACTAGCTGTGTTAGACTTCTTTGTACTTATTACCTGCTTGTGCTCTTCGTAATCCCTGTCCTTTTTAATGATGCCAAAAGGGAGAAAAGAAGTGTGAAGTGTGAGAATGAGGGAGATCTTAGATTAAGGGGGAACTTCGTGTAGTTCTGGCTTCTCATCTCGTTGATCTTAGATTAAGGGGGAAATTCTGGCATCTCATCTGGCTATTTCTGCTCTAAACAAATACTGTCCTTGCCTAAGTTTGTCATCATCAAAAAAGGGGAAATTGATGGGTTTTCAATGTCTAAGCCTTATGCTTCATATGTTTTGATGATCTAACAAACTTGTCATGAAGAACCAGATAGAGCACCAGGAACACAGGATATACATTTCATGTGAACTGGTCAAAGCCTGAAAATCAGCAAAGGGAGGAACACAAGCAACTGAGTGACTGACCGCAACCGTACAAAGAGGAACACAACAGGGACCTGGTCCCTTAGGGTTCTCTGACAAAAAGTACAAGTCAAGTACACAGCTGGAACGTGACAGAAGAAAGTGACCATCTGGAAACTGTCACAGAAGAGGAACACAACTAGGACCTGGTCTGTTAGTGTGTCCTAACAGAAGTACAAAGTCCACTATCCAGCTGGAACGCAACTTCCCAGAAGTGGCTGTGCAGACAGTACAGCAGTCACTTCTCATTGGGAAGAAGCGTACACCAAGAGTTGACATCACTATCCATTGTGCTATCTTTTGTGATAAAACAACCTGGTGCAAGACACACCGTTCTTTATGCATTCAGTGATATTCTCTCAAGAAACAAAAGTATTCATCCGGCATTGAAGTCACTGGTGTGTCAAGAACAAGAAGACAACTCCACTAAGGATCAGTTTCAAAATGAGTTTATGTACATCCGTAGTTGAGTTGTAATCTTGTTATTTGTTCGTCATTGTAATTCGTAGTTTGCTTTCTCAGAAGCGTTGTCTTAGGAACAAACCAAATTTGTAAACTTCTGAGTTTATGTTGTGACTAGGGATATTCATAAGTTTAAAGCCTTTGTAACTAGGATAGTTATAGAGTGGCTTGTGGTGGTTGCATCATAAGTTAGTTTGAAGTCTTTGCAATAGGGTTTTTGCAAAGTGGCTTGTGGTGGTTGTATCACAAGTTAGTTTGAAGTCTTTGCAATAAGGTTTTTGCAAAGTGGCTTGTAATAGGTAGATTATAAGTTAGTTGAGTTAAAGCCTACAAGAGTAGGCCGTGGTTTTTTGATCCCTTGTGTGGGATTTTTTCACGTAAAAAATCTCCTGCCTTCTTTACCTTCAGTCTTTACTGCATTCTAGGCATCATCTCATAGAGGACCAGGTACTCTATAGTTTGGTGGACTCATATAAACTAACAGAAAAACATTCCAACCTAAAGGGACACTTACTACAGCTAATCATGTAGAGGGATCAGTAGCTCAGAATTCACAAGCAACAACATAGTCTAAGGGAGATTACTTCTTCATAGAAGCTCAGTACCAACAAATTCTAGGACTGCTCAACAACAAAGATTCACCAAGTGACACACCAACTCAGGCAATCAATGCAGGTAAAATTACTGCACTATCCTCTAATGTACAGGTTTCAAAAGAGAAGAGTGATAGTTGGATTGTGGACTCAGGAGCCACACATCACATATCCTCTACACTAAACTTAATAAGTGATGTGAGCAAAGTGAAGGGAAGAGATAAAGTGACATTACCAAATGGAGGTTGTGCAAAAATAGAGCATGTTGGGAGTTCATATTTGTCAGCTATTGATAAATTGAAAAATGTGCTTCATGTACCTGATTTTAAATTCAACCTAATGTTAGTGTCCAAACTAACCAGAGATCTAAGTTGTGCTTCCATCTTTTTACCTGAACATTGTGTGTTTCAGAATCTTTACAATGGCAGGGTGAAGGGGATTGGTAAGGAAGAGGGACTATATGTGCTGAAGGGAAAAGGAATCAAACAACTAGCAACTCATGTTGGTGTAAAGGTCTTAACTGGAGATACATGGGATCTGTGGCACAAAAGGCTAGGCCATGCTTCCATTCCTGTAATGCAGCATGTTTCTTTCTTACAAAATAAAGTAGATAGTGAAGTGCAAAATAAATGTTTTGTTTGTCCTTTAGCAAAACAGTCTAGACTGAGTTTTCCTGACAGTGAAAAAAGGAGTACTAGACCTTTTGAGCTTGTCCACATGGATGTCTGGGGGCCATATAAGAAGGCTACCCATGATAGGAAGCACTATTTTCTTACAGTTGTAGATGATTTTTCCAGGGCAACTTGGATTTTTTTGATGCAGTTTAAGAATGAAACTATCATTTTCTTGAAGCAATTTTTCTGCATGGTTAAAACATAGTTTGATGCTTCTGTTAAAGTGTTAAGAACAGATAATGGGAAAGAGTTCTTCAATAAATAGTGGAGTGAATTTTTGTTGTCACATGGTGTCATTCATCAAAGTAGATGTGTTTATACTCCTCAACATAATGGGGTAGTTGAGAGGAAACACAGACGCATACTGAATACTGCTGGAGCATTAAGGTTTTAGAGTAATGTACCAAGTATGCTTTGGGGGGAGTACATACAACAATATATATCATAAACAGACTACCTTCTAAGATCTTAGATGGAAAGAGCCTTTTTGCTATGCTGCATGGTATAGAAGCTTCCATAGCCCATCTAAGAGTTTTTGGATGTATGTGTTATGCTACTAATTTGGTGATAGGGGACAAGTTTGTTGCAAGAGCTAGAAGAGCTATACATATGGGATACTCAACCACCCAAAAGGGATATAGGTTGTATGACTTAAACACTAAATGCTTCTTTGTTAGCAGGGATGTTCCCTTCAGGGAATATGAATTTCCATTCAAGGAGGTACAACAACATTCACTCACACAAGATAACCTTGAAGCTAATTTTTGCAGCCTGATTTTCCAGCTTCTGAAGATGTTGTTCCAGCAATCAGTGGTTTAGAAGAGTCTTCCCAAGGTCTTTACTCAGATGAAGAACCAAGAGGACATAATCCTGATGAGCCAACTATGGGCCATCATGATGTAGATGCTGAATCTGCACCACACATGGAGGAGACTAACGAACCAGCAATGGGCAATCCTAATGCAGATGAGGTTACAAGTGAGCTACCTAACAATGCAGACTGTGATTTTGCAGTCCATGCACAGCTAGAAGACATTGTTGCTCCGGATGAGATACATCCTGTTGAATCCAGTTCTAATGTGCCTGTTTGACAATATCTTAGAGTGAAACACCCTCCTATATGGCAAAAGGATTATGTGGTGCAGCTTCAACAGTCATCACAGTGTAATTACCCAATATCCAACTTCTTGTCTCATGAAAACATGTCTCCCATGTACAAAAGCTACGTGTCATTTTTCTCAGTACTAAAGGAGCATCACACCTTCAAGGAAGCTATCAAAGATGAGAGGTAGATCACTGCTATGCAACAGGAGGTGCAAGCATTAGAGGATAATAGAATGGGAGGTGGTAGACCTGCCCCCCGGGAAAACTTCTATAGCATCTAAATGGGTCTACAAAATAAAATATAAAGTTGATGGAGAGATAGAAAGATGCAAGGCTATGAAAGTACAAGGGGGGGGGGGGGTTGAATTGTAGCCAATTTAAAATCTTGGTCGACTAAGTGTGAGTTTAGTCGACTAGTTTTGCACAATAAACAACTTCAGTGAGAATGAGATAAATTGACAGAAAAGTAAAGGAGGCGTAACAGTTTTTATACTGGTTCAATACCGGTGTGGTACCTACGTCCAGTTCCCTTGGGTCACAAGGGTTCTCTTAGAGATTGATAAAGGATTACAAATGTGATGGTTTTAGTTCGTTCACCATCAATGATATTCAACAACAATGATCTTTTGTAATGCTGACACAAATCACTTTTGTGTTCTAACTCTTCCTATCTTTTGTGACACTTGTAGACTCAGGAATACAATGTTTGTATGTCACGCCCCAAACCTGGGGAGGCATGGCTGGCACCCGGTGCCGCACTGGCCCGAGCGAACCACTCTGCAACTCTTTTTTTTCTTTGTAACTATCATGGGCCAACATGGCCACAACTCTTAATGTACAACTGTAAGGGAGAAAACACTGTATCAATAAACTATCATTCTTAAAACATGAATACATATGGGCCATCAAGGCCTCTGGCATATTGTATGAAATGAACACCTGTCTACAAAGCCTCTATAATTGTTTGACATCAAATGGGACAGGATACTGGCCTACCCATAAATCTATAGCAAAACTCTAACACGATGACTTATAGACTCGGCTGCACTCCGAATGAGGTGGAGTCTTATCGATTCTTCGCTGAATGCTGACCTCGCCTACTATGAGGGCTCGTTAAACTGATTGTCTATACTTGCAGGCATGAATGCAGCGTCTCCAACAAAAGGAAGTCAATACGAATAATGTAATGAGTATGTAAGGCAGAACTGAAACATAACAATAAGTCAACGTTAATTAAAGACATATAAGAATCAACCTGAATCTCTAAAGTGCCACCTTATTTGTATACTTATCATACATACACATATAATGCTTCTCGTTGAGACTATTTCTATAATCCATATCGTATGATGCATGACTGCCCAACTGATCAGTGTTAACTGCCCCGACCGGCCGTAGCACGGCGGTAAACATGTAACTGCTCAACCGGCTGTAGCTCGATGGTAAATGCATGGCTGCCCGACCGGCCGTAGCTCGGTGGTAAATGAATATGCATGACTGCCCAACCGGTGGTGAATAATAATACATAACTGCCCAACCGGTGGTAAGTGCCCGACCGACCGTAACCCGATGGTAAATGCATGTCTGCCCAACCGGCCGTAGCACGGTGGTAAATGCATATGCATGAAGATGCATGTATTACTATATTATGAACATTAACATCTTTATCAAATACCTCAATAGAGACTTAGGAACATACTTAGACATGCTTGAATATCACTTTACAGGAATGAATAACAAAGACATCCTTAACTACTAAGAGTAGAACCACTTATGGAATAGCATTATGTTTACGTATCGTTACTTGGATCATGACAAAAGAAAGAAGGGATAGTCTTAACATACCTGGAGTAGGGAAAAATCTGTATGATATTCTTGAAAAAGATTGCACCGTACTCCTTTATAATTGCAAAATCCTTGCCGTTGCTGTAAAGCTTTCACACGCAAAATCTCATTAAAATACTCAACATTGCTAGGAGTATTTTCCTCGCAAAATCCACCATGCAGAAACATACAACTATTTCCAATCTTGCAAAATCCTTGAAATCTTACGTCTTTAAGAATGGAGGTGTGATTTTCAAGTTCCTTAGTCTTATAATGGTTTTCTTTTGTTAAAAGGATATGTGACTCACGTTATTAAATCTTGCCAAATCTCACATCTGATTGTAGTGTCTTGTAGTTAATGTGCAAAATCTCACGTTAGTAGGAATTTGTAAGAAATGAAGTGTCTTGGTAATTAACACCTTATTTTTTCCACCTAATCAAATATGACTTAAGAGTCATTTGTTTGGTTAGTGTCTTGCTGCCATGTGGGGGTGGGGTGGGAATTTTAATCTTATCCTATTGTTGATTAATTAATTAGGTAATATCGCGCTACACGGTAATTAACCAATTAGCCGCATAATTAAGAATTATTTGAAATTACTTAATATACTATTCACTTTTAATACACTTTATATATACCCTACTATTATTTTATTAAAACATCCATGTAAAAAAAGGCATATATCTTCTCAACTCCTAATTTTCCAAATCTCATATAAAGAGTAAACATTTTCGTACGCTTAATTCTTAAAATGGTAAATATATAACCTTCTTTTCTTATGGGAAAATAATTTTTATCTTACAATAAACAAAATCTCATAAACTTTCTCATATTATGTGTATAATTTAAAGCACATTCGAAAGCAGTAATGTTAATAACTATATAAAATCATTTATTTTTAAAACTGTTTATAAAAATGTTCCACTCAAAATACCATATCAAACGTATATAACGGTGTCAATGTTGTTAAACTCATGGGATGTAACATTGTACTAAGAACTAGAAAGGCTCATAAAATAATTTGCGTAGTTGCGTGCCTTCTGAGTTCTTTTGTTTCTTCCTTTATAGCCTTTTTGAGTCTTCTGCTTCCTTGTCTTTTGGGATAGTATTGCAGCAATTCTAGGAGTCCTTTCCTTGTGGGGCATATATATATCTAAGAGAATGATCTAAGGGTGGCCTCGTGAATCCAGCTTAGAATGATAGCTAGATTCATCCTTATTCCTTACGAATTACCTCCTTCAATTTTTTTTTGATTTTAGACAGTCTTGGTTGATTACTTTATTCATTCTAATTTTGGTGGATTGCTTCCTTATTGACCTTCTGCAGAATCTTCTTTCCGATCTTGATTGCCGTCCGTGATTGATAGAATCTTGGTCAATCCTGATTGATTCCCTTCTTTTTAGGCTTAATTGATGTACTTTCCAATTCAGGTTATCTAGACGTTGAGTAGATCATCCTTCCTATTAGCAAAGCTGTTATTTACCAGAACGGGAATCTGCATACAAGAATATAGTATTAGTCAAAGTATCTTTAGGGTTATTGATCATTATTAAAATTCTAAACTTAACAATCTCCCCCTTTGTGATGATGACAATAATCATAGAAAGATTTTGACTAATCTCTGGATTCTTCCCATTTTCAAGTGTGCTCCCCCTGTCTGGTGTGCTGCCCCTGTCTTCAAGCTGGGTTCTTGTTTGTTTTCTTGTACACTTGAATACCTGTATTCTTTTCTTTTCTTCGACCCATTTGACATCAATCAAAAAGGACAAGAGAAGCAATATACAATAATACTTCTAACTAGGCAGGCAAAAGTTATTTACAAGTAGTTATAGAGAGCATAGTCGACTGACATGCTCATCCAAGACACAACCAAAATACACACCAAAAGAGATAGTCTTAAACCACCACATAAAATAGAAAAAGTAAAAAAATTGTCTTAAGCTTCCCAGTCATTTTGCATGGCCCCGATTCCTGCAGAAGTTATCATAAGAGGCATCAATGTCCTTGGAGACTTTGGTCAGCTTCTCAGTGACATCCTGCATGGCCCTGATTCCTTGCCTCCTTGTGGCTTGGTGAGTGATCCTTAGCTTAGCCATATCTGCTCCAGTTTTCTTGGGTACTTCCCTGGTCTTATCTACCTGCTTCGGCATAGAGGTTAGTAATTCCTTGATACCTGCAATGTTGTGATGCATCAGCATCAGCTGGTCCGAAGAGGATGATATGTTGGCTTTAGATTTGATCCCCTCATTATTCTAAGTAGGGATAACTTCTGGTGCTTTGTCTTTCTTAAGCCACGTTCCGTCAATCAAGGTATACCCCATCATGGCAAAGGCAGTCTTGTCATAGGTGCTGGAGATAGTTTTAGGATCATAGGGAGCCAGATCCACTTTCATAACTTTCAAGATGTGAGAGATTAGTAAACCATAAACATCCCTGATACGTTCAAGCATGTACTGACGTATCCAAGCAGCTAGGTTACAAGTGCTTCGGTCATAAGTATTTTGCTTTATGTTTTGATGATCTAACAAACTTACTATCCGGAACCAGATAAGGAACCCGTTACACATTCACAATATGTTAGGATCACAAGGTTCCTGGTTGGGATTCAACGTGGGTTATGATTCAACTCTTCAGAGTGGAAAGCACAGCTGAGGGAACAGGTCCCTACCAGTTCCCGAGGAGACTGTGCAAAGTCAACTCTCCAGCTGGAAAGTTGCTGCCTGCACACGCTACAGTGCAGGAACAGTGCTGCAGTCAATTTTCCAGGGAAGACCTTTTACCTACCTTGCTTACATCATTGTAAGTGATGCCACACATGTATATATACAATCAAGGAAGGTAAAACATATTGACTTGAACTTTTTAGAAGCTCATTCACGTGACTATCCAGCAAGAGACTTTCAAGTGCTTCAAGAACAAAGAACAAATCAACTACGGACCAATTCCCACATCAAGTCATTATATGTCCTTAGTTGAGTTGTAACTTTGTAATAGTTCTTCAATTGTAATTCCTATCTAGCTTGTTTAGAAGCATTCTATAGGAACCCCTTTGTAAACCTTAAACCTGAGTGTTTGAGTCTTGTTAGAGTTAGTCATGTTGTAAAGTCTTTGTAATAGAGTTATTACAAAGTGACTTGTAATAGTGTATTACAAGTTAGTGAA